AATACAGAACCTGGTATTCCCTAGCAATTACCTATTTAGGTACTGACCAGTCGCGACATTGCTTAACTTCGGCGATCGTACAGAAGCCGGTGTTTCATCGTGATATGGCAGTAAGCCTATATATATATAATTATTGCGACTAGTTGTTTTAATAACGCAAAATCTAGTGTAAATTTCGAGATAATGAAATATTAGTAAAAATTGAAGAGGAAAACCACGGAAAGAACTGTAAATGCGTTTTCTTCAGCAATAGGTAAAACCAGCATTTATACACTTACGAAATAAAATGCATTTAATAAAAACTGAAAGATTAAGAAGACCTCTCTGCAATCAAACACCAATGTACCTTAATAAATGAACAGAATGAGATGATTCTATCTTCCTTATTTATTTATTTATTTTTATTTTATTTTTTTAAACTTTCCACCCCAAGCAAAGCGGGAGTGCCACTAGCACGCAAGGGGTTACAGAAAGTGGGAGCAAGAGTAAAGAGACGTGAGAGAGAAAAAGATGAAGAGAAGGCCGGGGAATAGATTAAGGCATCTGGAGATTTCGATTGATATTGAATTTGAATAGTTGGTGATTATAGCTATCAGGGAAGCAATTAAGAGGAAGGGAGTTCCTCAGACGGGAAGTGCGAGACATGAAGTTATTGGAGTAGAAGAGACGGCTACATTTAACCGTTTCGACAATGAAAGGATGGGACCGAGATGCCGGGCTAGTGGTACGTTTAAATTCATGCAGTTTGGGAACTAGCGAACATAGCTCGTCAGAGCAGTTACCGTGAAAATATTTGTAGAAAAGACAGAGGGAGGCGACAGCACGTTTGTAAGAGAGCGACTGTTGTTCTAGTAAGAGGGAGTAAGCAAGAACAGGTTAATAGACTCTACGCATGCATCGTAGGTCTGATGATCTTTTTAAATACCATGTTCATTCAAGCCGTAGGCGATCATGGCTCTCTACATTGCTTTTTCTTTAATTATCTGTGAGTTTTCTTCCCGTTTGCAATTCAGCGTTTTCGTTCTCTTAAACTGGTTGACACTCAAGTATAGAGAGTTAAGTATACCCCATTATTCAATTCATTGCTGGGGAACAAGAGAGAGATTCATGCCTTTCCCAAGGAAATTTGTGGGAAAGTGAACGCTAGGCTAGATTTTGAACTCTGCCCGCCGATTCCAATTTCTGCGTCAATAACCGATACGCTGCTCTCACAACTCAACACCCGATAATATAATAGCGAAAGGAAAAAGATGCAAATCACATAAACCTCAATAATTCGAATTTGCTTTGAACAATTGTGGTCCAATTTAAATGATTAATTTAGACGTCAGAACAAAGATTGATTTAATATTTTATGTAGCTTCAACATGTTTTATTAAACTTATTGAATTTATTATACAAACTACAGTCTGAAGTTATTATGGAGATTGATCTAATATTAGTTTAAGGTCTTTGAAATTTAATAAAAACAACTTCATGTTTTTTTTCATAATATGTGTTGAAAAATTGGTAATGAAATAGATCTAACGACTGCTGAATAACAGGAAATAACAAAGTTATTGAGTAATGGAATGTCCACATAGGAGAGCTTTGCAGAAATCATCGAAAGATAAAGCAGGCTATTGAAAATATAACTAATTTGAGAACTACAAGCAGAGGAAAAGATGCATGTTATTGTATCCACAGATTATATCCAAGCCCCTATAATATGATAGCAAAAATGGAAAAAAAGAATAAGGTATATTTCTTATAGAGACTAATATCATAAATAAATTCCAGAATTTTAGAAACAATGTAATGATTTGAATACAAAATGTTTTTATAGTTCTGTCTCAAATTCTTCAAGGCGTGAAACCAACATGTTTTCATTAAAGTAAAAATTTCGATATTTTTTAAAATTCATGATTAATTTGTTTCTTCTGGAAAGAAGAAATGAATCTGCGACTCACAAAACGTGCATTTTCCACGTTAAGATCTACTGAGCTTGGGTAAGCACATCAGCAGTTCAAAAGTGAGGAAACGGAAGTGTAGACGAGAAGAAAATTGTGTTAAACTAATCTTCTAATTGTGGAGAGACTGCCTACTTTGAAAATCAGTATTCTACTGTTTACCTTATCTCGAATACTGTCTACTATTCTAATTTGGCGGAGATATCACTCCAAAAGAGAGTGTTCTTTAATAAAAAAAATAATCCTTATTTAATGTTTCCTTTGATCGTTGAGTGGCATCAATTGGAAATAATTTACATCTGAATTATTAGTTATTGGCAGATGAATAGAGGTTTTAATAACTTCGGTATTAAGTTTAATGTTACACTTGAAGGGCTTAGAGGAAAAACGAAATGTAGAAAAATGTCAAAACATGGCAAAACAGTTTTTGCCAGTACACTCGGTACTTTAGAAATCACCGGAACTACTGCTCAGTTGACGTTAAAATATTATTCCCCGTAAAGGTTTTTTAAGCCGTGCCCCTTCAGGGCATAAGCGTAATTATCACATATCCTTAGGAAAGATAGTGGAGTGGTTTCCTAATTCCTTTTCCACGGTTTGGAATTCAGAGTTTACCTTCTCTTAGACTGGTTATCACCTAACTCGAGAGAGAAGTCTACCCTATTATGTAATCCATCACTTTCGGGAGAATAGACGCATTCGTGCCTTTCTCGAGAGCATTTGTGCGAATTTGAGCGCAAACTAGATAAAATACTGTCAATAAAAAAGAAAAATTATAGAAAGAGAAACATTTATAATTCCTAGATTAGTCTTTTGGGATCAAATTTATATTATGATCTGATTTCTGTTTGTGGGCGTATTTTCTTTTTATTACCGTAGTAGAGCAAAAACTAAAGACCACAACAATACGATTAAAATATTTGAAGAATAAAGCCATTTGTTTTACATATTTTTATACAGAAATAAAATTTGAATGTTAATTAAAAAGTAATTCCTCTTATTTATTTTATATGATATTTATTATTTATTTAATTATATAAATTCTTTAAAATAGGAAGTAACTTATATATATCAAACTTAACTGTTGCCTTTAGTGGACTTTAATCGAGTTTGCTATTGACAATAACAAAGTGTTTAATGTTTTTGTGACCCGATTCAAAGATCACTGATCAACGATGCATAGACCAGTGATCTATGGATAAGATATTCGTTGGTATCTTTTGTATGTCCTTTGTGTTTACTAATGTGAAGAAATAATTTATGTCCTGATGTTGCGATACAGTTTTATCTGCTTAATGTAACACTTGATAAATACCGCAACGCTCTTCTGACTCTTGGTGGGTCAGATTAAAAACAAAGATTCAAATACTTACATTGCATAACAGTCAGAATACTGTGAACTATAAACAATCACTTGAACCTCACTGATTAAATCAGATAAGATAACTGCTCATCAAAACATGACTTATTAACCGATTTGCAGAGTCCAGAAAATTACTACAGCCATTATTATGATAAAATTTTGCATTTGTAGATGGGCATTAAGTCAAAATATGTGTCAATCAACTTAAATATTCTTTTATATTGATAACCTACATCAGGGGGTTTATTTTGACAATCGATTCATTGACAAAATTATTAACCCTTAATCAACTCCAACAACATTCTTTTGAGAATACCAACACTACTAATATAATAGTAAAAAGACAATAACTGAATCAAAACATAATTAGCCTATTATAATTGTGTTTGTCCCGCACTTCGTTAGTACGCACGACCGTTACACCTTGTCAATACCTCATAAATAATATTTTATTCCGTTTTGATTGTGTGGAAAGAGTGAAAAGGACACTACTTGGTTTCAGTGTGAAAAAGAAAGAAAGATGTATTTAACCTCTCCTGCCAATGCCTCATAAATAATGAACTATTCCGTATTGATCGCATGGAAAGAGGGGAAAAGACACCACTTGGTTTCAGTGAGAAAATGAATGAATGAATGAAAGAAAGATAGAAGTGTTTAACGGCTGTTTCAGTGAAATGGAAAAAAAGATCAATTTCAAATATTTTCATTTGTACCCACTTTTCATTTGTACTGTATTCATAATTATGATTGTTATTGCAATATTTTGTTAAATTTGTTAAGCTCAAATATTTAACGGTGTGATTCTACAGATATTTTATTGTCATACAACTCGCCATGAGCTTATGCAATCATTAACTTAAAATTCATCAGAATATTAACATAAAAAAGTGAAATTTTTACAGGTTAAAACTCGTCTATATAAACAACATTCTGATTTTCTGTTTCTGTGTTTCTCTTTCGAAAACAATAGACTAGTTCGTCAGGTAATGTTTAGTAACCTGGTCTACTACTAAGTAATGAAAAAATCGATTGTTATGTTAATACGCGGCTTGCACTGCGCCACTGGAAACGAGCAAACGTTAACGCAACAAAAAATAATAAAAAACTCAACATTTTATAATATCCGTGTTTTTTTCTAACTAGTAATGATAATAAAAAGAACAATTGTGAATCAGAACATAAAATAATTACAAAGCATTTGTAATTGCAAGTTCTATTCTAATAGTTTTTTTCTTTAGGACTTCTCATCTATGGTTGATTGTTTTTTGCGGCTTATCAACACTTTGTGGGTTAGTTAAAGCCGAAACATATTTTGAATTTTAAAAGTAATTCTTCTTTTGCGAGTGAATATTCCATTGAGGATTTTTTGAGAATAACAATGATTATAACATAGACATCGTATTATTTAACCCATAACCGAAGAAGAATATGGATTCCTAACGATATTTACGCGTAAGTGAATATAATGAATCCTACTAGAACTCTGCTCTCCGACTTCTCATTCTGAGCCACTGTCGATTATATCACCCGGATATCTCTCTCTCTCTCTCTCTCTCTCGTGGAACTTTATTCCGACTTCTTGCTTTCTTGTAAAGTATGGTCTTCAAAAACTTAAACTAAACGTCAATCGACATCATCTGTCTACTTGAATTCTTTCTGTTGTCCTTTTTATTTAGTAAGGGTTTTGCAGTTTCTTTCATTGTCAATAGTTGTTCCTTGGTGACTTTTTCGCCTTGCTTGGGATGAAAAAAAATTGGATGAATCGCTGCCTTGAAGTGAAGTGAATTCGATTATTATTGC